AACATGGTGAAACCCTGTCTTTACTAAAAATAATATGAAAAATTAGCTGGGCATGGTGGTGGGTGCCTGTAGTCCCAGGGACTCGGGAGACTGAGGCAGGAAAATGGCTTGAACCCGGGAGGCGGAGCTTGCAGTGAGCCAAGATGGTGCCACTGCACTCCAGCCTGGGCAACAGAGCGAGGCTCTGTGTCAAGAAAAAAAAGTATTTTTAAAGAACAGCTTTAAAACTGCAGAAAAATTGTGAAGACATTTTCCCTATTATTAACATCATGCATTACTTTATCCAGACTTCCTTAGTTTTTACCTACTGTCCTTTTTCTGTTCCAGGATTCCACATCACATTTAGTCACTGTGTCTCCTTAGGCTCCTTTTGGCTGTGACAGTTTCTTAGACCTTCCTTGTTTTTGATGATTCCTTGACTGTTTTGAGGAGTACAGGTCAGGTATTTTGTACAATTTCTCAGCTACAGTTTGTCTGATGTTTTTCTCATGATTAGACTAGGGTTGTGGTTTTCTGAAGAGAGACCACAGGCCAGGTGCGGTGGCTCATGCCTGTAATCCCAGCACTTTGGGAGGCACAGGCAGGCAGATCACCTGAGGTCAGGAGTTCAAGACCAGCCTGGCCAACATGGTGAAACCCCATCTCTACTAACAAATACAAAAGTTAGTCGTGCATGGTGGCAGGCACCTGTAGTCCCAGCTACTAGGGAGGCAGAGGCCGGATAATTGCTTGACCCCGGGAGGCAGAGGTTGCTGTGAGCTGAGATCGTGCCACTGCACTCCAGCCTGAGCGACAGAGTGAGACTCTGTCTCAAAACAAAGACAAAAAACAAAAGCAAAAGACACCAGAGTTGAAGTGTCATTATCAACATGGCTTATAGCTGGATATCACATTTAAAAATTAGACAATTTGGGGCTGGGTGCGATGGCTCACGCCTGTAATCTCAGCACTTTGGGAGGTTGAGGTGGGCAGATCACGAGGTCAGGAGTTCGAGACCAGCCTGGCCAACATAGTGAAACCCCATCTCTACTAAAAATACATAAATCAGCCGGGCATGGTGGCGTGCGCCTGTATTCCCAGCCACTCGGTAGGCTGAGGCAGAAGAATCTCTTGAACCCAGAAGCTGGAGGCTGCAGCAAGCCGAGATCGCCCCACTGCACACCAGCCCGGGCGACAGTGTGAGACTTTGTCTCAAAAAAAAGAAAGAAAAATAGATAATTTGGGTTTTATGTGAGATCTGATTTCTTGAGGTAGTGAATCTGACAATCTGAAGTAGGACTTCATCCTGATGTAGTAACATTTAACCAGATGGAGTGGTCCCCTTAGATGGGCTGTGGATTGGTCAAGGTTCTGGTGTAGGGTCTTCAGTGCCCTGGGGGAGTCAACAGGAAGGGGAATGGGTAGATTATATACGTCCAGGTTTAAGGGGTAAAGGGGTTACTGGGAATGATACATTTCCCATCCAGAGTGACGTTCTCTCTGAAGCAGAGTGATTAAGATCATAGATTGTGGGGAGAAAAAAACAAAATAAAAACCCAAAACCCATATAGATTGTGCAACCAAATTACCTGATTTGCTTCTCTGTGGCTCAGTTCCTTCAACTTTAACTTGGGGATAAGCACCTACCGATAAGGACTACCTGAGATAACCTTCATGCAGTAAGAACTGTTAACAAGGACTGGCACATAATAAGAACTTAACAGATGTTTGCTATCTACTAGGAAACTTAAAGTTTGCCTCGAAGAGCAGAGGTCGTCAAGTCTAACAACTGCCGCTTTCTTTCTCCAAGGTAGGAGGCTAGCAGGAGGGGTGGGGAGGGGTTTGGGATGAGGGGGATGGTTAAATTCCCACGGTGACGGGGCAGATATGGGAACTCAGTCTCCTATTCCCTTCTTCAGTTCTCAGCTCCACTAAAGTACCCTTTTCCTGAATGACAGCTGTCATTTATATGGCGTTGAACTGTGTGCCTAGCGCTGTACAAGTGTTTGCACTTTCCCTTTGAATCCCCACAGCTACCATATGGGATAGGAGCCATGGATATACCCAGGTGAGGAAACAGATGCAGAGATGTGGCTTGCTCAAAACACAGCTGAATTGGCAGAGTCGAGTTTCAAATTCAGTCAACTTGCCTTCAGAACTCGGCTCCTAACGTCTGCTCGGGCTGTCAGCTGAACTCAGCGCCGAGGCATGAGCTTGGCTTTGCCCCTCCAAGCTTGTGCGGAGGAGAACGCGCCGCCTGGGCCGAGACGGGGACTCTGGGACGCTCCCGCCTCCCCTCGGGAAGAGGACGGAGATGCAGATTCTCCCCGAGCGCTGGTTTGGAAGTCTAGACTTTTAGGTCCAGTCCCAGCCCATTGACTTGGGAGGCCCTAGGCGTCTGGGCGTCAGTTTCTCGGGCTGTCAGGCGGGTGTCGGGGCTGCTAGGAAGGAGCCGCCTGGCGAGGGAGGCCCGCCCGCGCTGCTCGCAAGCAGAACCTTGGAGGCGGCGGCT